ACAGACCCTCAGCGAGATAGACTGACACAGTGGCTACAACCATGGGCTCACGCATAGCAACGATCGTGAGGATGGCACAGGACCGGGCAGTGTTTCGTTCTGCTGTACACAGGGTTGCTATGGGTCAGAACCGACTCGACAGCACCTAACAACAACAATAACTGTTAAGACAACCCTGGAGTCGTTGACTAAATCTGCTCCTGCCTCTCTATGCCACACAGCGCCTGTGATCGATACTGTTAATGCAGAATCATTGCAGCTGTTTGCATTCACCCGGTTCACTGTTGAATACTGTCTAGATAGTCTGCCAGTCCTTCCTTAAAACCCCGAGTGTACATTTACTTTGCAGTTAATAAGATTGCCCTTGTATATCGTTAAGCTTTCAAATTAATATTTTGATCTGGTGCCAGACAGAGGTTACAGTCTGGGGCCATCTGCTCAGAGCAAGCCTTGAACAACAACCAGAAAGCATGTTTTGATGATTAAATCCGAAGATCACCGGGGGCTGTCTCTAGCCACTCTCGAGTTCCCAGAAAGTGTATCAACAAAGAAGAGGCCTCTTCAGTGCCTGGACAGTGCCAATGGTTAACGGACTTGGCTGCAAATTTAATCATTGGAGGTATGAGTTTACCCAGAGGTGGCTCAGAAGAAAGTCCTGCTGATCTACTTCTAAAAAATCAGCCACTGAAAACCCTACAGAAAACAGTTCTTCTCTGACACACATGGGGTTACCATGAGTTGGGGTGGATTTGACAACAACTGGACCCAGTTGCATTATGACTGTAAATCAGATCCCAAACCCTCTGACTCCCTCCCACCCTTGCTTCAAGTTTGGGGCTTGGTCATGGCTGCCTTCTGTTCACATGGATACATAATCACCTATTACCTGCCACCCCCTCTCTGCGAGCTCAGATTTGGGCCTCCTGCACATCACATATTGTCTGGCTCCCTCCTTGATCTCCAAGTCCCTCCCGGCCACCAGGTAAGGGAGGTGGGTGAGAGGGCTGTACATTTCCTATTTAAGGCCACACAGCACCAAGGGCCACATGGTCTCCGTGTTCCAGGCATGTGGCACAGAACGGACGTTATACATCTATGTGATGAACGCTTTCTTTGTGTTCACCATTGGTGAAGGGAAGCTGAGCGTGCAACCTGCTCCTGAATGAGGAACTAACCACGGGGAGGCACCCAGCTCTTCTCATGCGTCAAATAAACCCATGAAGGGTCAGGTGCTGAGGCTGTGGACACAGTCTCCATCCTCCAGAGCTTACTGTTCAGAGGAGAGAAGCTGTTACTGAGTGACAGGACAGTGCCTGGGGGTCCAAGGAGTGTCTACTCAAACTGGGGAGGGGCATCAGGGATCCCTCGGCAACAGATGAAGCGGGGCTGCATTTTAAAGGACACGCAGGCATTAGGCGGGAGAAGGTCGAGATGGAGCAGGTAATCGATTCAGACAGGCACGCACATTTGCAAAGCCATCAGGTGTGAAAGAGCACCTGTTTGGGGACCAACAGATGGATGCCTGCCTGGGCCAGGGAGCCGGGGAGGAGCTCGGAGGGGTGTCCACGCAGACAGCCTTGTGCAGAAGCAGAGCAGCCTGGAATTTACCCCGAAAAACTATGGGGAACATCTGAAACCCTTCCAGACTTTTAAGCAGAGCAGTGACATTTTAGAAATATCATTCTGACCACAGTGTAGGGGGGGACCAGATGGCCACTCTGATGTGTGACGTTCCCAGGGGCACATGGGGAAATACAGGCGCTGCCCCACTCAGCCCTGCTCAGAGGGAGGCCCCTGGCTGGTCAACCAGCTGACAAGGCGGGTAACCTTCATCCAATCCCCCAGGCCTCGTGGAGTCCCAGGGCTCTGTGTGACTATTGCCTTTCTTTTCTAAATAACAAAAGAAATATGTGATCATTGTAGTGAGTGAAATAATCTGTGGAGTGTGACATCTCCACACCTCCCGAGCCTTCTCACCTCTCTGAAGTAATCAATACTAACCACCTGGCAGGTATCCTGCCATGTCTTCATCCATGATCATCCACAAGAAATATTTATATATGCACGTGCAATTGATTTTTTTTTTTTTTGAGTCCCTGAATGGCATAAATGGTTATGCACTCGCCTACTAACCGAAAGGTTGGCAGTTCGAATCCACCCAGAGGCACCTTGGAAGAAAGGACTGGTGATCGACTGCCGAAAAATCAGCCATTGAAAACCCTATGGAGCACAGTTCTACTCTGTCACACATGGTGGCGCCATGAGTAGGAATCAACTTGACAGCAGCTAGTTTTTTTTTTTTTACATCTTCCTCCATGATCATACACAAGATAAATCTATATATGCAGACATACATGTACTTGTTTTTTTAAGTTCTTTTTCTTTGTTTTTACCAGTACAAGATTATACCATAAACATTAGTCTGCAATGTGCTTTTACGTTTAACGAAATACCATCTTTCCAAGTCAATAACTCTAGATCTAACTTTTTTCGTTTTAAGAACTGCATAATATTCCACAGCATGACTATAACACAATTTATTCGGCCATTCCCCTATAGAGAGGCATCAACAATAAACATATAACAATAAACTGATAAACATCTTTATACATATAGCTTTAGGATGGCTTCCCAGAAGTGTGATAACCCACTAAAACCCATTGCCTTTGAGTCGGTTCTGACTCATCACCACCCTACAAGACAGGGTGGAACTGCCCCGTAGGGTTTCCTAGGCTGTATTCTTTACAGAAGCCACATCTTTCTCCCACAGAGCAGCTGGTGGGTTTGAACCGCCAACCTTTTGGTTAGCAGCACAGCGCTTAAATATCGTGCCACCAGGGCTTCTTAGAAGTGGGATAGCTGGGTCAAAGGCTTGTGTATTTTTTCTTTTAGGATCTATTTTCAAATGACTTTCCAAAGAGTTAGAGATAATTCCCATTCCCGGCAGCCATGTCTGATTCCCAACAGCGCCGGCAACACCAGGAGCTCCTTTTAATTTTTGATCATCTGACGGGTTAAAAACCAGCATTTTCTTATACAGGGTGAAGTTTCCTATCCGTGAGCACCTTTTCATGTACTTATTGGTTGTTTTCATTTCCTGTCTCTCAGTGGCTTGGTCATGTCCTCTGTCAAATTGTCAGTCGGGTTGTCTTTCTCTTGTCAGTATGCAAGAGCTCCTTCTATACTAGAACTAAAAGGCTTTGCTCACCAGATGTACTGCAAAAATGTTCCCCAGCCTGTCATTGGTCTTGTGACTTTATCTCAAGAATTTTTTATGCTAAAAACTTAGTTTATGAAATCAAACGTATTTATCTTATCTTTCATAGTCTCTGGGTTTGTGAGTTTGAGTAAGTAGTTGTAATGGGATTGAACTGTGTCTCCCAAAAATCTGTGTTGTAAATCCTAAACCTTAGAGTGATTATAATCCCATTTGGGTTTTCTTTGTTATGTTAATGAGGCATTATTCATGTAGGATATCTCTTAAATCAATCTTTTTTGAGATATAAAAGAACAGATTGAGCAAGGAAGGAAGCAAGCAGAGATGGGGAAGACAGATGCGAAGCCACATAAAGATCGCCAAGGAATGGAGGAACAGAAGCTGAAAAGAGACAAGGACCTTCCCCCAGAGCCGACAGAGAGAGACAGCATTCCCCTAGAGCCAGCACCCTGAATTCGGACTTCTAGCCTCCTAAGCTGTGAGAGAATAGATTTCTGTTTGTTAAAGCCATCTACTTGTGGTATTTCTGTTACAGCAGCACTAGATGACTAAGACAGCTGTTCTCTTCCACCCCAAGGTTTAACAAATAACTGCTTTAATTTGTATATTTGTTTGTAAATTTCATATCTGTCTGTCTGTACCAGGATTCATGAACGTAAAATGGTTATCTACCTTAAAGAGACAATACAAAACTAAGGTACTCCCACTTAACTACCACGAGGGAGACTCAGAAACTCTCAGAAGGAAGATGAAGGGGAAACGAAACACATCATGTTCAAAACATGCAAGGAGAATCAACAAAGCCAATAAAAAAAATCTTTAAATCACCATCTTATTCTCCGGAAACCTCATTAGACATGAGCCCAAAAGAACAGTCACTCGCCTGACTGTGCTCTTATTAATTTTATTTAAACGGAAATTTTAAAAGCAGCAACTAACTAAAGTCTGATCTCTTTAAAGCCTACACCACACCAGTGAGTCCCATGAAAAATAAGGAGCCTTGGAGATGAGCTGCACTGCAGCCCGTTCACCTTCCAGCCCAAACCACGGCACCACGAGGAGGTTGCTCAGTGGGTGCCCTCACAAGCTGAACTGTGTCCCGACAAAAGATATGTTGAAGTCCTAATCCTGGTACCTGTGAATGTGACCTGCTTTGAAATGGGGTCTTTGCAGATGAAATCGGTTAACATGAGGTCATACTGGAGTAGAGTGGACCCTAATCCTACATGACTGGTGTCCTTATAAAAAAAAAAAAAAAAAAAGGAGACGAGGCACAGACAGACAGACACAGAGGGAAGACAGTAGCAGAGATTGGAGTAATGCATCTACAAGCTCAGGAACACCCAGGATTGCCGGGAACCACCAGAAGCTAGGGAGAACCAAGGAAGGATCCTCCTCTCCTAGGTCCTTCAGAGAGAGCATGGCCCTACTGACACCTGAATTACGGACTTCTAAACTCCAGAACTGTGAGACAATACATTCCTGTTGTTTCAAGACTTCCAGTTTGTGGTAAGCTTGTTACAGCAGCCCTTGGAAGCCCATACAGATGCTAAATATACAGAGTTTAAATTTACTGAAGTTGTTACTATAAGTTACTGTAAGTTTGCCTATAAGCTTGTCTTTGACACAGCTTGTAGGCACAGTTTATAGGAGACAAAGGTTGGTTCCAATCTGATACAAGCCCCTCAAGGATGAGGCCTTCACTGCTGTGTGCCCCATCTGGCACAGAGCCCGATGCAGGGCAGCCCGTGCGGGAGCAGTGGGCACGTGGCTGAGTACATACCCAAACATGGCGACCAGGAGGTTGACCAGCAGGATGTTGGTGGAGAGCATGTAGATGCACACCAGGGGGATGGTGATCCACTCAGGGAAGCGGGGCAGGTTCTGCTCATCCAGCTCTACGCACAGCGGCTTGGACTCGTTCCCAGTGAAGGTGCAATGGGCAAAGTCGTACGAGGTGCCTGGAAGCAGAGAGACCAAAAGGCAACGTGAGGCCCTAGGGAGGGGTGACTGCCACTGCAACCCCCGGGCTTACAAGACAATGATTATGTAATGCGATCCTTAGAACCCCCCTGCATCCTCTTAATAGGCATTTATTGGAGCCCTAGTGGCACAGTGGTTAAGAGCACCGCCGCTAACCAAAAGGTCGGCAGTTCCAATCCACCAGCCGCCCGTTGGAAACCCATGGAGCAGTTCTACTCTGTCCTGTAGGGTCGCTCTGCGTTGGAATCGAGCCAACAGCAACAGGTTTTGGGTTTTTGAGCAGCTACTCTGAGCCAGGGACTCCACTGCACCTGGGGGTAACAAAGCAAGTCAGGTGTTAGGGATGGGATCATGTTCCCCCCCCAAAATATGTGTGGGAATTCTGACCCTCGTACCTGCGGATGTGATCTTGTTTGGAAATAGGCTTTTCTTTGTTATGTTAACGAGCACATCAGCGCAGGGTGTGTCCTAACCCTAATCACTCCTGAGTGATAAAGAGCAGATTAGACACAGAAGTGAGTACAAATGGGGGAAAGACAGACGCCGTGTGAAGACGGCCGAAGAACCGAAGAACTGGGGACTGTAGAAACGGAAAGAGACAAGTACCTTCCCCCAGAGCTGACAGAGAGAGAGCCTTCCCTAGAGCCAGTGCCCTGAAATCGGACTTAAAGCCTCTTAAACTGTGAGAAAATAAATTTCTGTTCTTTAAGGCCATCTATTTGTGGTACTAAGGAGCCCTGGTGGCGCAGTGGTTAAGTACTCGGCTGCTAACTGAAAGGTCAGTGGTTCGAACCCACCAGCCACTCTGCGGAAGAAAGATGTGGCAATCCGCTTCCATAAAGATCACAGCCTTGAAAACCCTGTGGGGCAGTTCTACTCTGTCCTACAGGGTCGCTATGAGCCCACAGCAACAGGTTTGTTTGTTTTCTTTGTGGTGTTCCCGTTAAAGCAGTGCTAGGAAACCAAGACAGCAGGCATGGTACTTGGCCTCAGGCAGCACCCAGCCTCTTGGGGCAGGCAGATGATCAGCCACACAAGTATAAAATTCCAGACCCTGAGCAGCATGTGGAAGGACATGCACAGGGTGTTCAGTGGACGTAAACTGAGGCATCCCGTCCAGGCAGGGAAAGAGCCTCCCCGAGAAGAAAACGTCTCTTATCCAAGGAGGAGGTCGCAACTGACAGTCGGGCAGGTGGGTGATGAGGATGGCGTGGGGTGGAGGCAGTGTGGGTGGTAAAAAGTGGTTGGTTTCAAAGATACTTAGGAGATAAATCCACAAAAGTAGCTGATGGATTGGAACTGGGAGGTGAAATAACAGGAGGTGTCAAGGTCGATATCAAGGTGGACACTGAGGCTTCGGATTTGCACAACTTGGGATAAGCGGTGACAGAATAAAATAGGGAGTCTTGGAGGAGGCCTGAGTTTAGGAGGGAAGGTCAAGGGCTTCCATTTGGATATGTTGAATGTGTCTGAGAGATCTCGGCAGAGAAGGCCAGGGTATGAACGTCTGAGAGACCTCGGCAGAGAAGGCCGGGCTATAAACGTCTGAGAGACCTCGGCAGAGAAGGCCGGGCTATAAACGTCTGAGAGACCTCGGCAGAGAAGGCCAGGGTATGAACGTCTGAGAGACCTCGGCGGAGAAGGCCGGGCTATGAACGTCTGAGAGACCTCGGCGGAGAAGGCCAGGGTATGAACGTCTGAGAGACCTCGGCGGAGAAGGCCGGGGTATGAACGTCTGAGAGACCTCGGCGGAGAAGGCCGGGGTATGAACGTCTGAGAG